AGTACATTTTATGGACAATGAGGAAGTTTTGCATAAAAGAAATATGTTGTCACAAAATCATAAATTGAATTGGAAAAACAATTATAATACTCTGCGCTCTCAAATAGGCGTGGTGGATTTCAGCAATCCGTTTATCTCTTGTCTTCCAGTAGAGGCTCGTCAATGCTCCCTTGTATCCTTCTTGAGCTGGAAACTTCCTCACTCGACTTCTTAGGTGCTTGTCTTTGTTTACTTTGGCCTCCCTGTCGAATCCAGAAAACGTGTAAGGAGATAAAACTACTATTTGACTAGCTTTACATATAACATGTGGTTGAATCAGGTGTAGTCGAGATGTCTTAACAATATCAAATTGTGAATCCAGATTTTGGCAATTCAAGAAATTATAATACATGTGGAATATTGACTCTTCAAGAATTTTACATCATCTATCAGGAGAGTTCTATTCTATTAATGTGTACTTACAGCTGCCTTTTGAGCTGTCAACTTCCGGATTGAAGGTGCTCGTGCTACTGATGAAGCAGCAGCTGCTGCAGCCACACGTATCCTGTAAACAATGGAAAGAACATTAACATATGCTCATCAACATCAATAATACTGATCAGGTTAAACTAAGGTTCCCGATTCTCAAGCACCTCTTATGTACATCAACATACTCATCCGTCTCATCCACAATTTCCTCCTGCACCAGTGACAAGTTTCTAAAATGTAAGTTCCATCTGTTATAGCCAAGTGTGTGACAGAGTTAGAAATTTTTAAAAAAATTTACCTGTAACAGTTCTTCAAATACATCTTCCAAGGTGATAATACCGATTACTTCAGCATCCTCAATATCATCTGATGAATGAAGCACACTATTTGTCACTGCATCACCTGATGTATATACTGATGGCAGTATAGCCTTGTCTATATCAACAACCACATTATCTGACTTCCCGTCCTTTTTCATCAGAAGAGGAGCAGTTTCTAGAGAATTTTCACTGTTGGCTTCAGGTTTCTGTGAGGGAGGCTTTTTGCTTTTCCCTTTTGCCTTCACCACTGCAGCCATATGACTGCTACCTTTTTGAAACTCGTTAAGTATGTCGTATAGAGGCATATCAGCAGGAACACTGACGATACAATGCTGTTAGGATATAAATATATATATAACTGTAGTTCATATATATAGATGCAAATAATTAATACCGTGGAATTCTGCGAATAGAAACTGCACTAACTGGTGTCTCTGTCTCGGCCCTTACAGTAAGAAGACTTTTTACCTAAAATCATTTTGAAAATTGAATAGTTAGGGAAACAAGATTTAAAAGTTGCTGTGACAGTGAGAATTCAGAGGTCACCAGTAGAAGTCCAATAACATTCTTTGGATTTGCAGAGTAGACAGGAACACGACTATGACCCCGTGCAAGAATTTTTCCCATAGCCTCCCTTTCATGAGAAAAAGAAAAGGAGTAACTTGAGTCATAATAACATATTATTATAAGTGGGAACCTCTTTATATAATCAAATATCTTAATAAATAATAATATTTTAATTATATAAAGATAACATTATTTGTCCAGCAACTATAATTCTAAAATATAAAACTTATTAATAACCATATGCATTGAACCGGATAAGCAATAGATGGTTCATCTGCCAGTAATTATTATAGTAGCAAATTTCCTCAATATTAATTAAAATACAACCTTTTCACATTCCAACATTGATTAGTTTGATTGAAGCTTCTACATATTATCTGTTCTTCTATCACATACTTATTATAGCATATTATCTTAATATATAGTAATTTAGAATACAATGTTTTCTCAACAAAACATTTTCTTGTGTAATTTTTGTTCATTCTTTTTCTTAGTTTTTTTTGTACTTGCAATGTATGAATCGCATAACAATGGTTGTACGTAGCTGTTGTTTGGAAGTTGGAAAGAACATTGTTTCATAGTTTAAGTCTTTTCGTCTCCAACAATAAAACTTTTGATTTTCTTTAGTTACCTAACTTAATTGATAATGAATGATCTTATCTATTCCATTAAATTATGCTCAATGATCAACTTATATAAATAAACCAAGAATATGTATAACTCTCTCCATTAGGGGAAGCATTAGAGGAAAGATTTTAAAGAGTAAGTTCATTTTTCAGCTTTGTTATTTTCTGTGAACGTGTTCGTAAAAATATATTATTCTTGTTGATATAATATTTTATGAGTTTTAAGTTTTATATAAATTATCAATGTTTCTTATATTCATGTTTATGAGTTAAAATTAAATTGATGTATTGACATAGAAGTGTTACAGATTGACTTTTGGTCCTCTTATATGTCATACCTTTACCATTAGCTTTGAGTCTTTGCTTAGCTTGAAGTTGTTTGAAACTTTAATTTTTGATACCTTAAATTTGCTGAAGTTGGTAAAAAAAAATGGATAAATGAAAAAGAATAGGTATTCATATATAATATTTTGGTGATATATGTTTATTAATGTTTTCCTAATTATATAATTAAAGTGGATAAATGAAACTACTCTAACCGGTGAAATCGGTAATCAAAACAACAAATGGAATACACATCAAGAACATTACTTATGAAAGAGTATCATGTAATATATCAATACATTAAATATTGCTCAAAATATAATTCATTATACATTTTACCTATCTAGATAAATTTAGTTGTTTAATTTTGTAGTATAAAATAATATTTAATCATCTAATATTGTTCAACGAAGAAATCATTTGAATATAAGCTAACTATTCATCTATTTTAGCTTGTACTTTTTCACTTTATTCTATTATTCATTACAATGTATTTTTGATATGATTTATTTTTTATGAACTACTTGTATGGGACACACGTGTGAAACACGTGTCCAGAAACTAGTAACATATATATGTTGAGAAGAAAAAAAAGTTACCAGTCGAGCTTTGAATTGACATCCAATGAAAATGTTGACTCGATGGGTGTCATAGCCTCCTCAGCAGTCTATGAATAACAATTTTGAGAAGAAAGGAAGAAGGTGTGTGTGAGAGAGAGAGAGGATGTAGGTGGGAGAATGAGAATATTGATATGAGTACCTTCTCAGTCAAATCGAGTGCTCCGCTAATGATTGTTGTCTCATCATGTGTGAGATCACCTCCCTTGCCAGCCTGAAACAGACTTGCTATTAACAAATAATCGCTTCCCAAAGGAAAATACATATGCGCACACACACACTAACCTCTCGACTGTGGATTGAAACAAGGGCCTTCAACTGAGCTCTTCTAAATAGTACTTCATTATGTCCCAATACACAATCTAGGATCTGCAAACACATAATGAACATGGACACCATTTTTTACTCTAATAAACTCCCCGGCCACTCAATTCTAAAATACTGCACTCATTACCTTTCCGATGGGGTAAGCAATAGGATAGCATAGGAACATCAAAATACGAACAAGCCAAACAAAGTTAGAACCTACTGCAAGTCCATATCTTGTGCATATTGCTTGAGGAATAACCTGAGAAAAAACAAACATTTATAGCATATATATATAGATAGATTTTAAATGGTGAGAAATCCAGATTTCCATGCAATTTACCTCTCCAAAAAACAAAACGAAAGTTACTGATAGTATAATGGCCAGATATTGGTTGAAAAGCTTATCCAGGTATAGAGGCAGGGCCTGAAAAAAAAAATATTCGAGAAATTAGTGCTATATATTAAGAGAGCATAAAGTGAATGAGACAGAGAGAGTTTACCTCCATTGCAGCAGCATTACAAAGAAGTAGTGTGACAAGAAGCTGATGTTGCTTCTGAACAACAGGAAGGATTGTAGCTGAAAAATATAAAAAAAGTAGTATTTATTTATATAAAAATGTACATCTCATGAATTCATTTTATATATACGTACCTGCTTGGTCTTTCTCAGAGCGGGTGCCACTTCGTTGAAGGATCTCAAGTTCAACGAGACCCAAAGACATGAGACCCAGTGTTAATCCGGACATAATTCCAGCAAAGAGTACTAAGACACATGAGATCCCAGCGTAGACAAACCATGACACCGTCCCAAATGCTATTTCTGCCCCCAGACCAGCTGGGACATCCCCGTTCCTCGTTGCCATTCGAACCACGGCCACTGCATTCAACGGATGCATTCTTCTGATCCCCTTCTCCTTCTCCTTCTCCTCCTCAAGGTTTGGTACACTCGTTAATAGGGGAGGAGATGGTCAAAACAAAACAACAAAATGTCCACAACACCGTTACTCTTACTTTGGTCTTCCTTCCACAAATTACCTAAAAATCTGTTTCTCTTCCTTTTTTTTTGTTAAGTCAAGACTATGTCACACAACTATATACATACATACGTATATATATATATATATATTCACTTACATATCTAACATTTAATTTTTGCTTTTTTCACATAGTTACCATACTTCTAATAAAAATAAATAAATACTTAATATATGGGTTTTGGTTCCTTAATATATAAAGGAAAAATAATTATTGATTTTAGTGATATTTTTTATTTATAATCATTTATAGTCATGCATAACAATATTATGATAAATCTGCAATATGTATTAAAAGTAAATTATGCATGAATATAAATGTATTATAAGTGTTTTAAAATATACTATACTTGTTTGGTAAGAAATTGACAATGTATTATAAATGTGTGATAAATGTATTATCCATCAATAAAATTTATATGTTTTTATAAATTGTTCTTTGTAATATGTATTATAAGTGCTCAAGTGAAAAATATGTTATTACTATAAATGATAAATATTTTCTTAATACAACATAGTTATGTAAGTTTCATAATCTAATGAAGGATTGAAATGGTCCTTAATACATTTTGCAAAAATGATTAATTTAGTTCTAAGTCACGTAAGTAAAGACAATCCCTATTTTTGTAGTCAAAATAAATAGAGGCCCTCGACATATATCGTTTTCCATACACAACCTATTTCTTTTTAATCAAATTTTGGGAGTCTTTTATAAATAGGAGTAGAAAAAAAAAAAAGTACAAACTCATTTGGGTTTATTATCCAAATCCACCAAGTACAAAACAAAAAGGACACATGCCCATTCCGGACATCCGCCTTTGTCGCTCTATTAGTCTTGGCTTGTCTAGGATTTTCTATTTCAAATCCTTCTTTCCATTTCCTAAAAACCCTCTCCACCTGAGAAATGTTGTCGTCGTGGACCGACCCTAGTCTCCACTTGCTTTAGCTTTGGATCATCAACCAGCTGGAGTTGATGTTCTTTCTTGGTCTTATATCAGCTATCATGAGTAAGTTTTTTGGTCTCCTTTCTGCTTTCTTTCTTGTTACTGATCTCTGTTCCTGTTTCAGTTGGGTTTTATGGGTTATGCTCATTGTTTTTGTTGATGGATCTAGTCCAATGGAGGGTTACTTCTTCACTTGGTGAGCACTCATAGTTCTCCTTCTTTCTCCCCCTATGGGCCCTAAATTCTGATTCTCTGCAGGTGGTTCCGAAATGGGTAGCTCTGATCCACCGCCTAGGATAAGTGTTGCAAGCTTCTTCCAGATTTAACAGTCTGACTGACCCCAGATCTTCCCATTTTGTTAGTTGTAATAGCTTAGGCTAGATAGCATTTCACTAACTTTGACACCATCCTGACCTTTGTAAATGTCGTGAATGTGAAAAACATCATGGTGTAGCCTCCCCTGCCCTAAAATCCTCGCGCTGGTAATACTCTTATATAGGGGCAATTTAATTTATCGCTATTTATAATTTCTATCCCTTTTGTTTCTATGCTTATAAAATCTGTGTAGTAGCAATTACCTTCATCAATGGCTATATTAGCCAGGTAATCTGCTAGCTGATTCCCCTCCCTTAGAAAATGCCAGAAGATATGTTCTTTATTCTACATATATATGTCTTTATTTCTGCCACAATATATGCAATTATCCAAGGAGCAGCCTACTTCCCTTCAGGTCCTTAACTAGTAACACTGAATCCATCTAAATGATGACTCTATTGTGGTATGATTGATTGCAATGCTTACATGCTATTAAAATAGCTTTAGCTTCCGCAAATATGTTCGTGGTGTTCTCAATGGTAGCCCTAATATCTCATGTAGCATCTCTTAGGCAAAAGGAATATGAACTTACTATATAACCTTCATCCTAGTCCTATAACTTTCCAGTTCTTTTATCATTTCTGGACAGCTGGCCATCCGTGTTTTCCTCAGTTGAATCAACATGAATATGTTCCTAGTGACATTGTGGATGATCCTATGCAAAGATGTTTTCTTCCCCTCGTGCTTCATCTTGTTTCTTCTCCTCCATAGTTCCCATATTACAAATGTTGGTACAGATCTGTAGTATGGTCTCAAGTCTTTCTTGATGTTTCCTCCCCACCAGAGCATTATAATTTCTCTCAGTTGAAGTCCTACCATGTTTAAACCTGCAAAAGAGAAAAAGTAGGACCAAGTCCTGTTAGCTATATATGATTTAAGAAACACATGAGCAAGTGTTTCTTGGTTAGGCATTTCACAAAACCAACACTTGGAGGGTCCTTATAGTCCCATCTCCTTACTCTATCATCCACACGGAATTTGAACTTCCATAGTCTCCACATTATGTCACGCCTTAAACTAGGAGAGGCGTGACAGGTACCTAGCGCCTCACTTGACCGAGTGAACCACTAAAACATAAAGGAAATGGTACAATGAGGGCCGACAAGGCCCTTACAATAACATAGTGAAATAAGATAATTGTATTGGCGAGGTCTCAATAATATCAAAGACATAATGAAAGGACCGGCAAGGAAATCTTAAATGATAAGGAACTAGCAACCGATAAGGCTGCAATTGAAATCACATCTACGCCAAGATGACAAGGCTATAACGGAAAGCTAAAAAGACCCAATATAGTATGTCCAAAAGTCTCTACGAATATCACAACTCAAATGGTTGGAAAATTCCCCAATGATACAAACAATCATCTACAAACTCAAGTATGCAAAACCTATCGACCCCACTAACTCCAAGAAGAATGGAGCTTACCAATCCTCAGTTGAGACAACATCCCTATTGCAAAGGCCGATCAGGGCCCGTTTTTGAACCTGTAGCACAAAATGTTGTGTCCCCAGGCAATGGAACGTCAATACAAATAAAAATATACTGATAAGTAAGGCAGCAGGTGAAATCATAAATAGATGTGACAAAAGGATAATAGAGATACCACCTGAAACTGAAACTGTTATGACCTCCATGGCCGACATCTGACCTCATTGAATTAAACATGTATGGTATGCTCATGTAATCATATGTCATGAATATATATATATATCATTATAAAAACGTTTAAGAATAAAGTATAATGCTTTAATTCCTAACGCTCTTCTGGTTTGTATCCACTTTTTGTTTAAATGTGGAAGTTTTTTATCAACTCCGGTGGCTTTAACATTAAAATCTTTTAATTTTATCATTGTTATGTAGTTGATTGTTTGGGAAATATTCTTGCAAATCCTTGCTTTCCATAGAAATGTTGAAGAACCTGCAATAAACATCGTCGCCTTTTGCATAATTCTTTACTGAACTTATCAGATGTATTGGTAATTTGGACAATTCTTGTAAATCTGGCTTGGCATAAACCCGATCTAAATAGCCAAATTCGAATAGTTGAGCTGTAAAGCCCGGTGACCCGTTTGGGAATATATATATATTTATATATATATATATATATTACTTTAAAAACATGAACTCCTAACTTGAATGTTAAATTACAATAATATCCTTAACTTAGTTTGTGACTTTTTCGATGAGTTGTGACTTTTCCGATGAGTTGTGACTTTTTTCAAAGGGTTGTGATTTTTCA